TCTTTAAGGTGCCACCAGACTCCTTGTTGTTTTTATGGAATGCTAAACTGTATTATACAGTTCAGCCACTAGGTGGCACTATGTGTAAAATACCTTATTTAAATGAACCTCAGTCATACCTGGCAGAGCATTAAAGGATCTTCTGATGAGCAAACTCTGTAGCCAGTCCATATCTCGTATAGAAGAACATGATGTGGTGACAGGAGTAAAATAAGAATAGAACCAGAAAGAAAACAGCAACAAAGTTTTCAAATAGAAGGAACAAAACAACAAAGGTTGCAGGATCTCAATGCCCCCGAGAACTTCAGCTTTGACAAACCTTCACAATGGACAGAATGAAAACCATATTTTGCAAGTTTCACATTGCTACCAAGCTCAACAAGGAAACGGATGATATATAGGTATCTTCTTTAATTTATGCTATGGGGAAACAAGCAGAACGTATCTTTAAATCCTTGACTTTACTGAAGACAAAGATGACCATGAAAGGGTTCTGGCTATGTTTGATGCATACTTTATACCTCAGAGAAATGTGGTTTATGAAAGAGCATTGTTTTCACCAGAGAATTCAAGAACCAGGGGAAAATGTTGAATGCTTTATGAGAGCTCTGCATACAATGGCTGAAAACTGATTTGGAAACGCAAAACGTGAAAATATCAGAGAGGCGCTAGCTACTGGGTTAACAGATTAAAAACCTTTCACAGCAGCTACAATTGAAGAGAGATTTAACCCTAGCCACAGCTATACAGAGAGCAAAGCATTCTGAGCTGGTGAGACAGCAAAACCCAGATCAACTTGACAAACTTGAAAAACCTAATGGTTTAGAAACTGTAAAAAGACAGTTGAGTGTTAAAAGTCATTATCACAAAGCCCCTGAGGCAAGGAAAAAGAACTTCCAGGCTAAGAGGGACAAATTCCAGCCTACACGCACATGGTGTGAACAAAGTCATATCCCAAGAGATGATGCATATCCAGCCAGAGGCACACGGTGTAATAAATGCAGGAAATATGGACATTTTCCAGCTATTTGCCGCACCAAAGCAGTCAGGGAGGTGACTCATATTACAGACAATCAAGAGCCATTGTTTCTGGGATCTACCACTTGTGATGACACACCTGCCTGGAGAGTGAAACTGAATATTCATAGCAAGACTATTGACTTTAAAATTGATGCAGGAGCTGATGTCACAGCCATGTCAGAAGAGAGACACAGTCACCTTCCACACCTCCCAGAGCTCAAGTCACTTGACACAGCTCTGACTAGCCCTGGTGGTATTCTGAACTGCACGGACCAGTTCACCATAGAAACAACTTACAAAGTCAAACGTTTTGCATTCAGAGTGCACAGGATCAAAGATGAACAACCTTCTCAGCTGCAGCGTAGCAGCTGTGATAGGCCTAGTGAGAAAGGTGGAAGAACTCAATTGAGGATCTGATGATATTGGACTTTTGAGAGGCGATTCAGTACAAATCAACTTAAGAAACAATGCTGAACCATACAGTGTACAAACATCTCTACCAGACAGACCTGGCAAGAGACTAGCCGCAGATTTATGTGAATTCAGAGGACATCATTACCTGGTCATTGTGGACTATTTTTCCAGATATAGAGAAATAATGTACTTGAAAAACATAACGTGTTGCAGTGTTATCGAGGAACTGAAATGCACTTTTGCACACTTCGGTATTTCAGGACAACTAGCGATGAACAATGGACCACAATTCACTGCAGCAGAATTTAAGTCATTCCAAACGAAATAATGATTTTAATCATATTACTAGCATCTCATTTTACCCACAAGCGAATGGAGAGATGAGAGAGCTCTACAGGCAGACAGGAAAGTCCTACAGCAGGAAGATCCATTCATTGCTTTTCTGAGTTACAAATCAGCAACAACAACAGCTACTGGATACAGTCCAGCACAACTCCTGATGGGAAGACAACTCACACCTTCTGTTCCAGCTTTGGAAAAGAACATATTTCCAAAATAGCCACACATGAAGAGAGTAGCCAAATTGGATAAAAAGGCTGAAAGAGCTTCTGAACACTTTTAGAACAAATGCCACTCAGAGAACCACCCGGTCTAGAACCTGGTGACTGTTCACGTCAAACTGGATGGAGAAAAAGGATGGGCAACTCCAGCTGTTGTAAAGAAAAAGAATTCAGCACTCAGATCATGTGTGACCGAGACCAACAGTGGAGAGTTCAACCAAAACCATTGACATCTACTGTTTGTTCCTCAGAAAGAACAATCAACAGAGCAAACTCTGCACATGGCAGAGGCAAAATGACTCCTCAAAGATTCCAAACCGACCACTGCCAGTTGCTGCAACTAACAGCTAGCCAGATAGCCAAGTGTTCCATATTCGGCTTGTGTAATTAGAAGAACAGTATGATTCAGAGGCACTTAACAGACTGATATGTACTGAACTTCAAAGACAATGTGATAGTTCAAATATTGTAAGGTAGGAATGTAGAACTTAATGGGGGTGAAGTCATGGGAACGATAAACTGTTACACTGCTCAGCCACCACATGGCAGTGTGTGTAAAATACCTGATTTAAACGCATGTCAACCATCTCTGGCAGAGCATTAAAGGAACGTATAATGAACACATCTGCTGTGTGTAAGCAAGCTCTGTAGCCAAGCCATATCTGGCCCAGGAACATTTTGTAGAGTCAGGGGCCTTTCATTCCTTACTCTGAGCTTCCTGTCAGAAATCTGCAATCAGAACCACAACGACCAGGCTGCTTGGTGGCTCAAGTCTCATTGTAGCCTAGCAGCTTTGGGCATAAGCCACTTATCGGCACATGAGACAAAGCGGGTCAGCTCATCTTCCAGTTCTCTACATCATTCAGGCATGGTGGACGTGGCTCTGTTTGAGTCCACGGGAGAGGAGAAGTTGGGGTGGGGATGGGCAAGGGATCCAGTCTCTGACACCCTATGGAATAAATATAATTGCACTGTGACATGATGAGAAGTCGCAGGAAAAATGACAGGATAGGAACAAAGGCTACATGGAAAACCATTCCCTTGCAGCCCCCCTCACCCCTCCCAATCAGACGAAGCGCTAGAAGAGAAGGGAGTGCTCACACTCTTGTATCTGGCGGGGGGGATGGGAAAGGAGGGCCTCTGATCTGATCCCAGGGGAGTTAGTGGGATGCCACACTCCGGTCACCGGGATACCCACACCGCCATTGCTGAAGGGAACGTGGGCCGTGTAGCCATGCTCTGCTAACTGAGGGAGGGATGGAGAAAGCGTCTGTGCTGCAGTAACCCAGGGAGGTGTGGTGGAGATAGCTCAGACACAGACGCTTGGGGAGGGGTGCAGAGCCCTCCCCCTGGATACATGGATGGGGGGGAAGGGTTGGGTTTAGAGATCTCTCACCTGGAGGGAAGTTCTCTCTGGCCACCAGCCTGTCTCCTATGTGGCCTCGGGAGCCAGTCCAGAGAACAACATAATGGCCCTAAATGCTCAAGCCTAATAGTACCTCAGGGTTGCAGGTGTCTTGGCTCCTGTGTAGGTCTCTGAAAGGCCCTAACTGGGCGACACTCTGCCCTCCCCCTGCGGCCTAGGGACTGCCTTCCCCCGAACTCCTACGGGTGCTGCAAACCGACGGGGCGGCTTTGTGCCTCCCAGGGCATGCAAGAGGGATACGCTGCTGGCCCCATGTTTGATTTCCTGGTGACAAAGGCCCTGGTTCCACCCCAGACCCCTTTTGGCTCTTCTTCCCTGTCCCAGCCGCAGTGATTCTGCTGTTGTCCTTTGCTGACCTTGTGTATTTGGTGTGGAGATAGTGTGCCTGGTACTCTCAGTCCCTCTCCCTCCCCCTCCCCCCCTTGCTCCCCCCATTAGTCTTGCTGTTCGTTCATCTCCATGTCAGACACCAGAATGTTCTTCTCGGCAGATTCGCTGGGGTTGGAGGTGGTGCGGCTGTAGCGGGCGCTCTCAAAGGCCCCCCGCTCGGAGCTCCGCCGGCGCTTGTACAGGTAGACGGCGAGGGCGATCAACGCGCACAGCGCTAGTGCTGAGAGGACAACCACGGCGATGGCGGTCGTGTTGTCCGGGAGAGCTGAGGGAGAGGGGGAAAAAGCATGTGAAACCCACCCCACTAGGCCCAATCCCGGTCACCGTCTCCACTGAACTGAAGGGAAGCTGAAGTACAGCAAGAGGAACGGGCTTGCCCCAGGTCACCACAGCCAGGTCAGTGGCAGAGCAGGGCATAGGACCCAGGCGTCCTGACTCCCAGTCCTGTGCTTCGGCCCCTGCACTTTCCCGGACAACAGGTTAAGGGTAAGGCAGGTCACTGCAACACAGACAGCTCCCGCGGCTCAGAGGTTGGGAGCAGGGCCCCCAAAGCAGAGGTGGTTCCCAGGAGGGCTGGGGGGTGTCCTTTTCCACAGTTGTTGAGCTTGGCTCACCAAGGGGGCGTCTATCCTGCCTGGTTCCACTCAACGTGCCATACTCCTCACTGCCAAGCCGCAGCGCATGGACGCCCTGGATCCCAGCAGCGGATGCAAGCCTTTCCTCTCTGTCTTGGGGGGGAATGAGCGGAGCAAGGGGGCAGTGTGCTCACACAGAAATCAAGGGTGGCTCCTGCCTTTGGGAATTCACAGGGAAAGCTCTTCATCCAAAGGTGACCCTGGCCAGTCTGCCAAGCTACGGGCGCAGCAGCAGGTGGCAAACACGGGCACTCGTGTTGCCAGGCCCCGGTACTCCCTTTGTCCCGCACAACCCCTGGAGCTGGGGCTGGACAGGAACAAGGCCTTGTGCCCATGTTGATCTGTGACCCTGCTATGCCACTCACCTGATCGGGAGAAGCTGCTCTCCTCAACTGCAAGGGGAATGAAGAGAGAGACAGATCAGTAGCCTGCCAGAGTGTCCTTCCTTCCAGACCCATTCCTGCCAGTGGGGAATGGTGTGTTCCTCCCCTAACGCCCAGCCCTGCCGGCTACAGCTGGGGCAAATGGCTGCGGTAATACAGAATACGTGCCCAGTCTACGCATTGCCTCAGCTCTCTTCCTGGACTGGCACTCGACCTACCCCCACCGAGCCTGCCCCGCACTCGCCAAGTCCCTAGCACCCGCCGAACCCCTGGCACCCGCCAAGCCTGGCCCGCACCTGCCGAGCCCCTGGCACCCACCGAGCCTGGCCCGCATCCGCCGAGCCCCTAACACCCACCGAGGCTGGTCCACACCCAACAAGTCACTGTCACCTACCAAGTCCCTGTCACGCCCTGAGCCTGCCCCGCACTCGCTGAGTCCCTGGTGGCCTCCCCACCCCCGCGATTCCCTGGCACTCCCTGGGCATGTCTGTACCTGCCAAGTCCCTGCTACTTGTTTTTACCAAGTCCCAAATACCGGGACTGCCCCAACCATACCCTGTGCCCTGCCACAGGGACATGGGAGCAAACAGCCCCAGACTGCAGGGTGGAGGAACCACTGACTAGCTCGGTCCTGCCTCGGTCTCCCATTCGCTTCTCCACAAAGTCCCCACCACAATGTTGAAGACTCCTTGGCCCAGCGCTGGGCATGAGCAGACTCCCCATGCAGCAAAAAGGGCCCCAATTTGAGTCTTTAGCATGTATGATGGGGAGCCCAAAATATTCCTATTAGGGACCCCAATGGGCTAGCACCGCCTCTGCCTGGGCCTGATGTTGTTTACGTTGCTATTCCAACCCTGGGCTCCCCGCCCAGCTCCACCAACACCCCTCAACCCTACTCCACAGCCCCAGCTATTCCAACCCTGGGCTCCCCGCCCAGCTCCACCAACACCCCTCAACCCTACTCCACAGTTCCGGCTATTCCAACCCTGGGCTCCCTGCCCAGCTCTGCTGATGCACCTCCGTCCTGATCTGCTACTCCCCACCCACAGCTCGGCTATTACAATTCAACCTGACCTGCCGCAGCTCTTAACATGTCGATCCTGCACTTCTCCAGAGCAAAGCCTGGCAATTGCACTGCGCTGCACTCTGGGTGCTGAGGACAAGGTGCCATGAAGTACCTTGCCCCCGCCCAAACTCCTCTAACCAGGATCTGAGGCCAGGTCCCCAGAGGCAGAAAATCAATCCACGACACCTCGACAGCACCTGAGCCCCAGAGCGATTTCCTGCATTGGCCTGCTAAACCCAGGGTTGTGAGTTCAATCCTTGAGGGGGCCATTTACGGATCTGGGGGAAAAAAATCTTTCTGGGGATTGGTCCTGCTTTGAGCAGGGGGTTGGACTAGATGACCTCCTGAGGTCCCTTCCAACCCTGATACTCTGCACCGTTGGGAGGTTCTTTTGTTCTCAAACTCTTTCTTGGTTTGCAGTGAAAGCCACCAAGCCAAGTCAACCGGCTCCCTGGGGCCTCTTACCTCGGGGGATCTTACAAATGAGCCCCATGGTGACATTCGAGCAGGAGCCCAGGTGCCAGACCCCGTTACTGCTCTGGATCCAGTAGCAGCTATTCTGGCTGAGCATGCTGGGGCCGGTATCGTGCTGGCCCCAGTTGGAGTAGTTCATGGCTGTGTTGTCATGCCAAACCAAGGTGCCTCCTAGGAGAAGGGAAGAGACCATTACACAGGGCTGCAAGGGGAGCCGGGGCCTTGCCCAGCCGAGAGCAGCAGTGCTAGTGACCTATCTAGTGTCACACGGGAGCACGCAGCTGCTGCCCTCGTTGGACAGCGCAGACTGTTGATGCTACAGTTCCCAGCATCCTATGCTCTATTCTGATCTGAGCGGCAGCCGGCAGAGTCTATAGGTTCCAGCAGGATGAGCGGAGTGGCCTGGGCACGTTGAACGCGGGGACTGGTCGTCTCCCAAGACGTGGGTGGCTATAAGCTGCGTTGCAGAGGAACGTGGGCTGCACTTGGCCCATGGGCTGCTCTTTGACCAGTCCTGGAGAACGGTGCTGAATCCCGGCACCATGTCCAGCGTGGCCTGCAGGTCCCCTTAGATCAGCCCTGCAGGTGATCCAGGCAGGTCGAAGACACTGTCTCAGGCCAAGCTCTCCCTCGGGAGACCGGACTGGGGCTGCAAACGTCCAGCCACTCCTTCGTCTCGCTTCCCCTGGGACTGATGCAGCAAACCCTTCTACCCCAAAGTGCCTAGATCTACACAGGCCATTGCATGCAGAAGACACATCTTCCCCCAAGAAAACTGAGGCAAATAATGGAAGAGCTGGGAACAGCCCCGAGCTCTCCTGACTCCCAGTCCAGTGCTCCACCCATGGGGTCACGCCGCCTCCTGACACCAGCGATCGGCAGCGAAGTCAGAAGCGCGGCTCCAACCTCTCCGGTTTCTAAAAAACGCTGGAGCCAGACAAATCACTCCCCTTGCAACGTGTTTCTTTTACCTTTGGGATTAAACGTCATCCCCAACCAGGCGCCCTTGGACTGGCTCTCGTAGGCTTGGAGATGCTCCCAAACGAACACATTCTCCATCTCATCCTGGATGGACAACACCGTGCCGCCAGCTGCGGAGGAAAAGGCAAATCAGCCAGGAACGTTACCGGCCGCTCAGCGGAAGGGAGGCGCAGCCTGCGGGTGCTGGATTTTGCTCCCAGTGGTGCACCTGCGCGCTTTGCTGAGACCTAACAGGAAGGGGCCTTTGTTTACGTAGATCCAACGCCCAGCAATGGTTCCACAGACAATCAGCTGGTGCAAAATGCCCGAGGTCATCAGAGCTCTGACAATTTACACCTGCTGAGGATCTGCCCCACAGCCCTGCGAGAAGAAGTGATTATTGAAAGGATCAGCTGATCACATGCCGAACACACGGGGAGATTCGGCCTGAGAGTGACTGAAGTGGGGAAGCACCAGGACAGAGATACACGAGGGCAGCGGGCCAGGAGAAAGGGGGATGAAGGTTAATTTATACTGGCCGTGAGGGATGGCAAGTGCTGGAGTCCATGGAACTGGCTCTGCATGGGAAGCGGTGGAAACTGCACTGCTTGGGGTATTTGAAACGAACTGGACAATTCACCGACAGGCACGTTCCAGGGACCAATCCTGCCCGGGCAGTGGGGGAAGCCCATGATCTAACGGGTCATAACCACCTTGCATTTGCTCGGGCTCGCGGCACTCGAACCTCATTCGTACCTTTCTGGCATCTCTTCATGGCGTCCTTCTGCCCCAGAGTGACCTCCATGTGGAAAGTGTAGCAGTGATTCCTGAAGGGGATCCAGGAGGAATCCTCCACCGACTTCGGGCAGCTCCCACTGTAACTCCACTTGTGTGACGGGGGGAACCCTGCAGAGGAGCCGAAGAATGGGCAAGGAGCTTTTCTTGTCCCTGGTGGTTCTCCACCCCCTCGCCCCACCCTCGCTCCGTCTCTTCCCGCCCCCGCTCTGCCCCTTCCCTAAGGCCCTCGCCTGCTCGGTGCTCTCTGCCCTCCCCCCAATCAGCTAATCTGGGGTGCCGTCAAACAGCTGTGGCTGGATCAGGAGAGAGCACCCCCAAGGGGGAGCGAGGGGGAGACCAAACAGCTCTTTCCAAGGAAACGGTGCAAGCCGGAGCATTGCTGATGACCCACCAACACTAGAGTTTAGGTCTTGTCTGTGCCCTGCCTTGCATGGACGGGCAAGGGGTGGGGCAGGGGGCATGAGCAAGAGAAGGCTCAGCCCATGTCTGGAACACCTTCCTGCCCAGCCAGCTCTGCTGGGTCCCTAGGAAGCACTGTAGAGCACAGCGTGCGCTCCTTGGATGGATTCTTGCTGCTCGGCCTGCAACCCGCCCAGCCATGGGGTCCGAAGCCACAGCCCGGCGTGCAAGTAGCACTCCCCTGGTCTGCAGCTGCCCAGTGGAGTGGCACCAGGGGGGCCCGATGTGCTTCTTCCCCCCGCTCCTCCTGCGTCTCCTCTGCTCCCGGGAGGCCGGCGCACAAACCTGAGTTGACCTTGCAGATAGCCCCTTGCAGTTTGGTGTCACAACCGGCCGTCCGCCACGTCCCATCCACGTCCACGTAGGAGCAACCTGTGACCTGCCGAGGCTCCCCATCCTGCCAGTTGACATAGGAGAGGCTCTCTTCTGTGAGCCAGGAATAGCTCCGGCCTCCCTGGAAACCACCGACAAAGGGGAAGGCTCAGGGGCAGCTCAGACCACCACCTCTCCCCTCCACAGCCAAGGGGACAAGCCCCTCCCTCCTACCTCCTCATTGGCCAGGCCGATCCAGAGCGGGGCCCGCAAGCTGCTGATGGCCTGGGTGAGGTAGGCCTGGGTGTAGGGATCCAGCACGCTGGCCAGCGTGGCGTTGCGGGTCTCACACAGCAGCAGGGCCTCCTGCCACTTCAGGGGTTTCTGCAGGATGCGGTAGGTGCTGTTGAGGTAGGAGAGCAGGGAGCTGGGGGACGGGGGGTAGCTGGTCCGGGATGAGCTCAGAGCTGGGTCTGGGGGAGGAAAGAGAGACTGTCAGATCTCCATCCAGAGTCTCCCTTTGCACTGGAGCGATGCCCCTCGGCAGTGCCACAGGGCGTCCCATCCCAGCGCGGGAGTGGGCCCTGGGGAGCGGGCGGGAACGGGACATAAGAACGGCCGTACTGGGTCAGACCAAAGGTCCATCCAGCCCAGTATCCTGTCTGCCGACAGTGGCCAGTGCCAGGTGCCCCAGAGGGAGTGAACCTAACAGGTAACGATCAAGTGATCTCTCTCCTGCCATCCATCTCCACCCTCTGACAAATAGAGGATAGGGACACCATTCCTTACCCATCCTGGCTAATAGCCAGTAACGGACTTAACCTCCATGAATTTATCCAGTTCTCTTTTAAACGCTGTTATAGCCCTAGCCTTCACAACCTCCTCAGGCAAGGAGTTCCCCAAGTTGACTGTGTGCAGTGTGAAGAAGAACTTCCTTTTTATTTGTTTTAAACCTGCTGCCCATTAATTTCATTTGGTGACCCCTAGTTCTTGTATTATGGGAACAAGTAAATAACTTTCCTTATCTACTTTCTCCACATCACTCATGATTTTATAGACCTCTATCATATCCCCCCTTAGTCTCCTCTTTTCCATGTGAAAATGCCCCCATGAGTAACTGTCGCACCAGCTCGGGGCAAGCATCTGGCTGGGCAAAACACGGCGCTGAACGGACAGCAAAACGCCCCACCCCCGGTGGGTGGCACCCAGCTCCAGGAGAGAAGGCAGCCATCAGCTGCAGGTTTTTGTTCAAACCAGGAGACAGGCTGAGTAATGTGCGTGTGAGCGTGGGCTGAGGAGTCCCAGCCTGGGGGCACCGCGGCGCCTTCAGAGTCTCACAGCTGTGACTGTTTAGCACATGAGGATCCGGGTGCTGTCCACACGCAGAGCGAGACGTGGGCCGGTGGTGCTGAGTGAGCTGCAAACGCTGCCCGCGTGGGACGGAATCCCGTTAAGGAGAAGGGCAGGCGCGACGCAGGTTGCTGAGACGTGGCGGGAGGGACGTGGGACGCTTTGATGCTGGGCAGTGCAGCACCGTATCAGAGATGGATTTAGCTGGGCCTGGCACAGTATTAGAGCTGGGCCCAAACCCACAGCCAGGGGGTGCATGTTTGGAGCCTGTATTTGGGTTCTGACTCAGTGCTCTGGCGTGGCTGCTGAGATACTCCAAGGAGGGGCATTCGAGGAACGGCGGTTGCGTTTCTTTGCAGCGTATTGTCGGACACTCTCAGCTGGACAGACACCTAGTGCCTGGGTGGCGCACAGGCTTCCCGCATCGATCCGTTCCCCAGCTCGCGTTACAAAAGAATTTGGACCGTCAGCCCCACACGTGTGGCTAGTACCAGAGAACCCAGGCACAGCGCTCGCTGCCCAGAGACGCTGGATGCTGACAGCCGGGCGCAGAGCTGATCTGGCAGGAGCCAAGCCCAGCTGCAGCCAATGACCCAACAGGGACAGCTTGTAGGGGGCCGTGATGCCAGGTCACCAGGGGCTACGGTTACAGAGCTCATTTCTGACCTGCACCTGTCCCGCCTTCTCTGCAGTAGGTGCCACGGGCAAGGCACCCGCACACGCCCGGTGCTGTTGGCCCCTCTCCCCTACCTATGCTCCGCTGGCAGATGTAGCCGTGCTTCTCCTCCAGGCAGTTCCTGTCGTCCCAGCGGCCAGTGAAGTGGGGAGGGGAGCCGTGCCAAACCATCACGCAGTTCGTCTGCAAAACACAAGCCAGCGAGGTCAGCACTGCCTCTGCAAGCCCTGCTCCGCTCGGAGGAGCGGAGGTGACTGGCCGTGTGGGCTGAGTGGCAAAGGCAGCCCCTTATGCTGACACGCAGACCGGTCGAAAGCCTGCTTGGCTCGACATGCCACAGCCAGCATCCTTCCCAGGCGCGCACACCATCCCTTGGGCCGCAGCCCCCACGGGTCCTGCGTTCCCGCTGGCGGGAGGGGACGACCAGCCGTACTCTGGAGGTCGGGTGTGTGTCATTACGAGTAGTGGTATCCCGAGCCCATCCCCTGAAACCGTCCCTGGGAGCGGAAAGGATCCTGGCCCCACATTCTGACTGCCTGGCACCGTGATGGCAGCCAAAGCAGGTGGAGAGACTCCTCTAGTGAGACCAGCCCCACGGCGCCCGCTCCCAGCGTGGCCAGAGCACGGCCAAGTCTCTGCTCCCTTCCTGGTGGTGCCGAGAGCCAAACCAGGCTGCTGCCAGCCTCCGGACTGGCACCATAAACCCCACCCCCTCCTGTGGGGCGCCGAATGCAGCCAGGGCTCCAGCCCGTAGAGTGCTACCGGGCACACTGCTCCTACCTATCTCCCGGACCTTCAGTCCCCGATAACTGCCCTGGCGGCAGCATGGGGAGAGACAGGGGAGCTAGAGGACACTGCCCGACCCCACCGCCAATGCAGGCTGATCCCCCTGGCGTATTCTCCCCCGCTCTGTCCAGTCCCCTTTTAAACCTCCCATGAGGCAGGGCTCCCTCCCCAGCTCCTTGGGAGATGGTTCCACAGCCCGACAGCTTCCGCCGTCAGGACCCATTTCCCCCTTTGCTCATTGTTCATCCCAGACTCCTAGGTACCCACCCGCGCCCGGCTGCTGTCTATGGCTCCTCTCCCGGCCTGGGAATTCGCATCCTTCAGAGACGTGCCCGAGGGTCACCTCTCCTCTCCTAGCCATTGTTTAGCCAAGCAGAGCTGCCTATTGGCCAGTGCTCGGAAGATAAACCTCAGGGCTTCAACAAACCTCTAAGTATTAGGAATCAGGAGGAGATCTGCCTGGGGGTAGATTATCTGCAGGGTTCCTGCTCCTCCCTCTGAAGCCAGTGTTGGGGATGGGATACTGGGCTAGCTGGCCCAGCTCTGGGAATTCCTACGTTCCACCCATGCCCAGGCAGCCGGGCTGAAAGCAACGGGCTGGGATAGTGCGGAGAGAAAGGGGCCCAGGGAGTCGCTCACCGGTTTGTCGTTCGCTGTGGAGGTGCCGTACCCAGAGGGCTCCCCTGGGGCCCAGTTGACGTATCGGAGAGGTTCCGATTCCACCCACTGGAACTCCTGCTTGGCGTCGTGGAGGCCGAGCCAAAGGTCAAAGGTCACATTGGGAAGGATGGAGGTTATAAAAGCTGAAAGATGAAAACACAGGGGAAGCAGGGAACATGCTGATCAATGGTGGAGTCACAGGGCACTGGCGAAAGCACATGCTCCTGACCTCTGTCTGCAGGTTCTGCACCTGGCCAGTCTCGGGGCCACAGCCCAGCTGTTAGACCAAGCTCCCCACAGGCAGCCCTTGGGGTCCTGCCCTGAAACTGCCCAGCCCTGGCAGAAGAAGAGGCCCCAGGGGGACGCCCTACCTTGCTCTAGGTGGTTGGAGATGGTGGCCAGCACGGCGCCCTGGCTCTCACACGCTTGCTTCGCTTCCTGCCACTTCACCTGCTCAGCCTTGTCGTGGCCCTTGATGCTGAAACACTGGGCAAGGCCCGAGGGCAGATGAGAGAGACGTTCAGGGGGCGTTTCCCCAACCCAGTGAGCAACGCACCCACCCGCCTCCCTGCCTACTCCCCTTCCTTGTGCTCCTGGGAACTTGTCTGAATCACTAGTTGTATTACTGCAGCACCCAGTTACAGACCAGAGCCCCAGTGTGCTAGGTGCTGTACAAACAGAACGAGAATGATCTCCGCTAGTAGACCCTTTACAAACCCGCACACAGACGCACCTATTCCCCACCTTAACCCCCTCCCACATACTGCCCTTCCCCGACTGACCACAGACCCCCTCTGCCACAAACACACCTTGTATCCTCCCCACTTCCCTACACACATGCACAATCCTCTCTCCTACACATGCGCACACACAACTCCCTCTCCTGTCCACGTACCCAATGTAATATTTCACTTTCCTCAGCCCCACAGCCAGGTTGTGGAAAGCCCCAGCAATGCTGCCCCTAGACCGGGGTGGGCAAATTTTTTGGCCCAAGGGCCTCATCTGGGTGGGGAAATTGCATGTAGGGCCATGAATGTAGGGCTGCGGCTGGGGCAGGGGGTTGGGGTGCGGTGTGCAGGAAGGGGCTCAGGGCAAGGAGTTGGGGTGGAGGAGGGGTGCAGGGGGCTCAGGGAAGGGGGTTGGGGTGCAGGAAGGGTTGCACAGTGCAGGAAGGGGCTCAGGGCAGTGGTGCAGGGAGGGTTTTGGAGTGCGAGAGGGGGTTTGGGCAGAGGGTTGGGGTGCAGGCAGGGGGCTCAGGGCAGGGAGTTGGGGTGTGGGAGGGGGTGCATGTGCAGGCTCAGGGCAAGGAGTTGGGGCAGAGGAAGGGTGCAGCAGGCTCAGGGCAGGGGGTTGGGGTGCAGGAGGGGTGCAGGGTGTGGCAGGGGGTTAGGGTGCAGGGGTGTGGGCAGGGGGTTGGGGTGCAGGAGGGGTGTGGCAGGGGGTTGGGGTTCGGGCTCCGACCTGGCAACATTTACCTTGAGCAGCTCTGGGGTGGCAGTGGCACGCACCGGGGCCAGGGCAGACTCCCTGCCTGTCTTGGCCCTGGCCCCATCCCTGCGTCACTCCGGGAAGTGGCCGGCACCACGTCCCTGCAGCCCCGGGGGAGAGGGGGTACAGAGGGCTCTGCGCACTGCACTTGCCCGTGGGTACCTCCCCCGAAGCTCCCATTGGTCAGGAACGTGCAAGAGCAGCGTACAGAGCTGTATGCCCCCTCTCCCCCAGGGGCTGCAGGGATGTGGTGCTGGCCGCTTCCCGGAGCAGCGTGGGGCTCGCGGCGCCACAGGGGAGGCAACCCCACAGGCCGTAGTTTGCCTACCGCTGCCCTAGAGGGTCCTAAACCAGGCCTGGGAGATCAGAACCGCAGGCAGGCACTTTGCACAAGAATAAGCAGAAAAGCAAGCAGATGCACATGGGGAGGGGTGGGACAGACAAGACAGACGGCCGTTGCGTCTGCAGGCCTCCTGGAATACCTTGTTGATGAACGGGATCCAGCCCCGTGCGCAGCCGCCAGGAACGGGCGTGGGCAGTGGTGGCAGAGAGGGCTTCACAGCAGTGGTGTTACTCCGTTTGCAGATATACGGCAGAGCAGTTAGACACTTCTGGTCCCCCCAGTCCTCTTCAGAGAAAAGGAGAGAACATGGACTTTCCTCTACATCCTCCAGGCAGCCCGTGGAACGTAACTCCCTCGACTGGAAGGGGCTTTGCTATTGCAATGACCTTGGTGCCTCCAGCATACCAGCTACCTCGAATATTAACCTCAGTTTGGGACATCTGTACCGGGCATGTGCAGAGGGGACGGGTGTGTAGGGGGGTCTGTCATGTAGGACTCACCTGCACAGTCCATGGTGGGTACATGGGATACTGGCTGGATTAGTCAGAGCAAGAGACTTGGAGTCAGGACTTGATTCCCAGCTCTGCCAGTCACTTGCTGGGCAAGCCACTTAGACCCAGCGCCCCTCCCCTCCAAGATTCCCCCAGGGCTGACTCTCAGAGGTACCTAGCACCCGCAGCTCCCATTGACTTCACTGGTGGGTGCTCAGCACCTCTGAGAAACGGGCCAAGGTGTCTCCAGGCTGGGCTCCCAAAAACAGAGGCACCCAAACATCAGAGCCGCTTACGAAAATGTTGGCTCCCCCCATCTCCATGCCTTAGCTCTCCCATCAGTGAATCGGGGATCATGGTACTGAGCCGCCTGGCCGGAGGGGTCACTGACGGGGCTTTGAGATCGCTGCTCTGATAGCACGGCCATTCGCCTAACACGTACAAACCTCTCACCTCTGCTGGCCGTCACGTACACGCACTTCTTCTCCTTGCTGATTGGCCGCGGCTTGCCCGGCGCCCAGGAGATGAAGTTCAGGAGGGAGCCGTCGGACCACCTGGGGAAGGCGAGGGCGGGAAGTGTCAGCAGCTGCACGTGAAAGGGGGTGGGAGACGAGGCTACCGAGCAGGTTCTCGCACTCAGAGCCGGGGGGTGATTTCTGCAGTGCAGGCTCCTTGCTGGGCAGCTCTCCCTGTGCCCCCTGCTGCTGCCCATGCACTGGGTGCACTCACCCGGCACGGGCCGCTTATAATCGAGAGGGTGGGCTTCAAAGCAGCCAGTGTGGCGGAACAGCTGAGGAGTAAGTCTGCTACCATCCAAGCCCAGGGGAGCCGGGTCACTGACTGCAGTGGAGAGGGGACCAGGAGCAAGCCGTGTGTGCAGGTATCACTACTGCCCTCTGCTGGTGGCACAGGCAGACCTGCGCAAGCATGTGGCTGGAGCTCCTATTCCACTCCCAGGCCAGGCACCGCTCAGTGCATACCCCCTGCCCAGGGGAGCTCCCAGACTAGTGTTAGACAAGATGTGTCCGGTGAGAGGAGAGTGGGGAAGGGGAATGGGATGGAGACGGTGTGTTTACACAGTGAAGGCCCATGCATAGCACCACAGACTACACCTGGGTGAATTCTGATTCCTGGGCAGAAGGTTTAATACCCCATCGACTGAGTGCAGCCCACACCCGCTCACGCTGGCCCTCTTCTAACAGTGGTTTAATCTCATGCAGACTCCATGAGCCTGCCATAGGCTTCGCCAACAGGGGCTGGCTGGTTAGCTCAGCAGCCAGAGGCTCGTGCTTTAAGACACAGGTTTGATGCCCACTGCTGATGGCCCACCCAGGGCGTGGCCTTGCCCTTGCTGGAATGAAACTCGCAGCAGCAGCTGCTCGAGGGTGTGCTGCAGCCTGCCTGGGGGTGCAGATGGGAGCAGAGCACCGGCGCTCCGACCCAGCGGAGAAGGAGGTAGCCGGGCCTGCTTTCCTCATGACTTGTGCTCAGCGTGACGGGAACTGGCTTGTCAGCGTTGGCCACTTGCTCTCTAGGCTGGAGAGGCTCGGCACTCAGTCGGGGGTGGGGGGAGGCGCAGCATTTCCAGACCACTCTTCCGGGAGTGAGCAATTCTCACTGACGCCAGCGGGGGGCAGGTGTCTATCCGAGGGCAGAATGTTGGCCCCCCAAGCTAAGGCATTTCCCGCTGGGGTGAGCTGGAGAGTCCGGAGTCCTGCCCCAATGTCCCCACCACAGCTGGAATTTAACGTGGGGTTCCCAGTTGGATTTGCACTGAAACACAATCCTCTTTACATTGGGGGGGGCATGTAAGGAGAGCAGGATGCATGGGGAAAGAGGGGGGCAGACTCACTTGAATCGCCCGTCGTTTTCGTAGGTGTGCAACCCGATCCACCAGTGCTGCTCCTGGCCCCTGGAGAACTGGGGAATCAAAACACGGGACACGTCAGCGTCACAGGCCAAGCAAATCCAGCAGGGCCCCATTCAGCTACTGCCTTCTCCGCCGGGACCTACAGGAGCCGCCTGAGCCCGGCCCTCAGTCTGGGCTGTGGCCAGCAGTTTCTCCAGGCCTAGAACCTGGCACAGGTGCCCCGTGGCTATTGCGGGCTGGCTGGGTGATGAGCTGTGTGCAGCCTTTCAGACCCTGCAGTGCCTTCCTCAGAAGGGGAAGATGCTCAGTACCCACCCTCCTCCTCCTCCCTTCTCTTCATGCAGCAGCTTGGGGGAAACCAATGAGATGCTTTTGCTGGTGCCAGTCAGTGGCTTCATGCACCAGCCAGTGCAATGCACCACAGCCCTAAGGCCAAGCCAGAACCAGTTACACTGGGGTAAATCCAGTAACTCTGCCGGCGTCGGCTGATGCCCAGTGAAATTAAACCCTTGCGACCCTGCTCTGGCTTCAATGATGGGAAGGGAGCATTTCCCACGACTGTGCAGACCTGCTCCCTGCTGAACGGCAGCGCTCAGTGACACGCAGGTGTTCGACAAGGACCCACGGATGCCCCCTGCTTGGCTACGTTCTCCTACCTTCTTCAGGCTCTGGCCCAAAAAGTCCAGCTCGGCTTGGTTATGAACCGACACCAGCTCGGCTTGAAACCAGGTGCAGATCCGCTGAGCCTGCACCCAGGTCGAGTGATGCTCAAAGAATTTGTATTCTGCGTCCTGATATTTCACCCACTCTTTGCTGCCTGTGGACACAGAAGCACAGACAAGACGAGGCTGACGCTGGCTCGGCCGGGGAAAGCAGTGACGGAGCGAGGAGAGAATCTGCTCTTACAGGAACAGGCCCGTCAACAGCCCTCTATACAGCTTCCTTTGCATCTGTCCCTCTTGCCACAGGTGCTGGAATGCAACAAGCAAGGGGGTCTCCCTTTGGCAAGCTGGAGACGTTTTAGTACCGTGAGAAACTGACAGCGCCAATGACCAGTGGAGCATACGCGGTGCGAGCTTCCCCTCTGCAGCTCTACCAGTGCCCCTCACACCTGATCTGCAGCCCCTCCAGCTGTTCCAGCTCTGGGATCTCCCCGCAGCCCTGTTCAGGCCCCTCAATCCTGCTCTCCAGCATCCTGCGCTAGTCCCCTCCTGGCCCTCCTCCCCCAGCTCTGCTGTTGGCCCTCAAGCCAGAGCTACACACCCTGTGCCATTGCAGTCAGTTCTGCCAATTTCCCTTACTCCTGACCTGCAGCACTCTCTGCTGCTCCAGACTGGGGGCCCCCAGCAGCACAGCTCTGCCGATGCACTTCAGTCCTGCCCTGCTATCCCAGCCCTCCCTGCTCCGCTGATTCTGCGCGGCTCTTCCACCCCGACTGGGGCAGAGTGCTCTGAGCAAGCCATGCTGCACGGTGATCAGATCATGCTGACGAAGGCACGGTCTGGGGGTAGGCAGAGGGCAAACGCCTCGCACTTTGGCTCCTCCCTTGCACTTCCATCGGGGACTCACGAGGTGGGGGGTTAAGCCCACGGCTCCCACGCTCCTGGGCACAGAATGAGCCCGAGGGTGCCCTGGGTTGCTCTCCAACGGGATCCATGCATGTTTGCGGCTGAGGGCATTTATCCACCAACGCCATCCCCCCTTCTGGCACTGCGCGGCTGCTGGCCCTTACTGAATGGCAGTGACATCCAAGCCAAGGCTGAGCAAACCCTTAGGGGCAGGTCAGTATCTGGGGTGGGGGAGCAGCGCACCACGGGAGTTCGCCTGCAGACAGAAGGTTGGGCTCTGTGTTGTCCTTTTTACACAACAGCACAGCTGTGGGGAGCCTGGCCAGCATGGGAAGGACGGCAACACCCCTCGCTCTGGGCACCGGGCACCTCAGGATCGTACAATGGCCCCAGAGAGGCACCCAAATCCAGCATTCTAGCTTTGCAGCCCAGTAACCCCTGGGGCCAACTGCACCCAGGCCTCGAGAACAGCTGCCTGCTTGGTTTAGTAACTCTGTCGCTTTGGGTTATGGCCCAGGTCCCCCCCCCACCACTGCTGAGACCCTGATGCCCAACAGACCAAATTCACGCCGGGTACAAGTGGGAGAACTCTAGTGACTCCTCTAGGGTTGCGCCTCCTTACACGATGGGTGAATTTTGTCCGTCGGACATCCAGCTCTCTTTGCCGAGACAGCCGTCAGTTTCACCCACCGCCTGCTTGTTTCATTCAACGGCACTTGCAAAACTTTACATACCGTTTGAAGACTAGTCTTGTGACTGGAATGCAGGTTTGGGAGCCAGGACTCCTGGGTCCTTGTGTGATGCTGGGCAAGTCATGCCACTGCCGTGTGCCTCAGTTTCCCCCTCTGTAAAACGGGGCCAGCGATACTGACCGAGCTCCAATGGGGTTTCTGAGGCTTTGCTCATTAACGTTGTTGGGTGGGAGGCACCATGGAAGGACAGACACATCCACACGGGGAGACAGACGCTTCGTTGGACAGGCACTCAGTCACATGCAAACAGGGGAGATGCACACAAGAGGCAGACTCTTCCCAGACACACGCACACCCGAGATCATAGAATCACGGACTATCAAGGTTGGAAGGGACCTCAGGAGGTCATCTAGTCCAACCCCCTGCTCAAAGCAGGACCAATCCCCAGACAGATTTTTGCCCCAGATCCCTAAATGGCCCCCTCAAGGATTGAACTCACAACCCTGGGCTTAGCAGGCCAATGCTCAAACCACGGAGCTATCCCTCCCTCCGCGCACGCATGCACCCACCCACCCTCCCCCCGGGATGTGGGCACGCTCATCGGGGGAGGCAGACAGCAGGGGATGCACAGAGACGCCAACGTGTACGGAAACCTCCAGGAGATGATTCAGTAACACACCTTGGGTGGGGATCTCTGGCTCCTTCACATCAGCACCTGTTCAAACACAGAGGAGAAGGGGGATGAGGGATGCTCCTGAATTCAGCTCAACTCCTGCCTGCGGGCCTCAGCAGCTCAGATTCCTGCAAGGAAGACGCTTTCCCCCTTTACGTTCAGGCCTGCGCCACGTCTGAAGAATCCACTCAGACTGATTTCAATTAAATAAAAGTAACTTCCCGAGCCAAGTGGTTTTGGCTGGCAGCAGCGTCCTCTGGCTTTCATACCGCTTCTGAATTATGGATCACCCGCTTCCGGAGCCTGCTGACATTCTCGCGCTCTGCTGTCCGGGACCTGGGGGGGATGTGTATGGATAATGACTTCTAATTACAGGGATATCAGAGCACTGCAGCAGCTGTTGGCACCTGCAGGGGGTCTGCGGTGACGGGAGGGAGAAGGGGAATTTTTATTTCATGAATTTAGAGCTGGTGAAAGGTGCAGGACGGGGGAATCCACAGGGCGAGCGTTGCATGGACAGTAGCAGCAGCAGCTTCACACAGTCACTGCCTGCAACCCTGACCGGGAATCACGCAGGCCAGAATTCCAAAGCAATCAACACTCCCAGCTGTGGCCAGGTTTTCCCAATTGCTCGACCCCCAACGCGCTGAGGCCTTATGAAAAATCTGGCCCTAAATCTCACCATGGGTGGAGGGCTGGAGGCGGTGCTGGGGATTGAGGACTTGGGGGGAAAATTCTAGCCCTTATTTGGGTGCCTAAAAGTGAACTGAGCTCTTTGGAGAGTTTGTCCCTTGGTGTCTATTGGAGATTTGAGCAATTTAGCAACTGGACCGAGGCTCCCGACACTCTGAAGACAGGCCACTGAGGAGCTCTCAGATTGCTGGTAATGACTTTGGGCCAGCGCCAACCTAGACTCTAAACATGAAAGACGCCAAGTGCCAGACTCAGTCCCCTCCGCCAGCCAGCTCCCTGCGAATCGACCAAGGGTTTCAGTTTTTGCTCAGTGTCCTCAGAAGCCCCCCAGATTTGCTATTCGGTCTGAAGGGGCACGAAGCATTGGGAAGATCGAAGAGCTAAAAGTGCATCAAGCAAGACCGTCTCTTCTGCTCTCTAGGGGTTTTGCGGATGTGTATAAATAAACCACTCAAGCGCCACTCTGGTGGTTTACAACAGCACCAGGAACCTTCAATAACATTTCAGCCTTAAAGGCAGAGGGGTTGTGTGCCTGTGCACGCCTATATTTAGAACAGGTTTTCTAATCTATCTACACACGCATGCACACCCCTGACACACACACACACACACACACACAATGCATCTTCTATAAACATCACACAACAAAAAATTATAATAATCAAGCTTAGAAACGTTTTGTAATCGCTTAAATCTCATTTATCCGTCCGCCCCAAACTTCCCTAACAAGCTCAGACACTAGCCCTTCGGGGCCACTAAGCTCATGGTACATTTCAAGCTTCAGTTACCTTTGCTGGAGAGGTCTCAAAAAACTAGGGCTTAGATTCTTCCATGAACAATGGGAGAAATGGATTATTTTCCATCCTGCTGTAACTCCAACCGTGGAAGGGATTTGGCTCAAAAAAGAAAAATCACCTTTATGCCAAAGCCAAATCTGAACGGAGCCAGCCCCGGAGGTGAACATTTCCGAGCGATACGAGCGTGTGACCGCAGAGGGGTGGGGGGTTTACAATGGAAATAGTTTTAATAACACTGACCACACCCCAACTACTGTAATTATATGCATGCCTGCTACAACTGGCCTCAGTATCTCTGTGCCCCTCAGGACTCCATCAGGAAAACGGAGATAGCACCACCTTACCTCCCGGGGCGTTGGGAGAGTAAAGTTAGTAACATTTGTGAATCACTCAGACACGGTGCTGCTGCGGGTGTCACAGAAAAGCCCTGTCGGAAATTATCAATTCTGTATTCGGAGCTGAGTTCGGACGGTGTGCAACAAATGATGGGAGGCAGTGTAGCCTAGTGGATGGGACAGGGACTCAGGAGACTGGGTTCAATTCCTGGCTCTGCCACTGCTTTGCTGGGTGACCTTGGGCAAGTTACTGCCCTGTGCCTCAGTTTCCCATCTGTCAAATGGGGATAACCATACTGCCCTCCTTTGTAAAGCGCTCTGGGATCAGTGGGTGAAAAACACTAGATAAGAGATACAGTGTTTACAAAGCTTGAGGCCACACACTGAATGATCAGGTTAAAAATTCGTACTGAAGAGCTGCTCAGGCAGCGAGCACTATCTTGTGCACTGAATACAGGGGGGCCCTGTGGAAAACGAAGCGTGTAACCACGTAATTAAGGACTGTGTCATAATGCATATACAGAACGGGGCTGAATTAAGGTTGCACAGGAAACCTTAACTCCGGAATTTCCTAACTTCGGAATGCTCGCAGGTTTTTTTCGCGGTGCAATGTATATTTCAGAAAACTCAACCTCTCCTGACTGGTTGTGTGCTGCGAGTTTCGGGAGGCTACACTATAGTCTTCATACAAACCAAGAGGCAGAATCCCTGCTTTAAACAAGAAACTCAATGGAACCATAAACGACTGAGTCACAACCAATTCCTCCTTATTTCAATGGCTATCCAGGGATTTGGTCCAAAATTCCTTCACAGCTTTGAAAATTTCAGACATCATGTACAAATGGACAAAGGATCTGTCTTCACTTCCTTTCCCAAACGGTCATGTGGGCTCACTGTGATTAAAAACGGTTACAGCGATGGACAGCCAACATTTTAACAAAGGGCTCCCACAAAATTACTCCTCGCCTGCCAGCAACCCTGCCTCTGTGCATGGTCATGCACAGATCAGAGGAATGAATTCATTGGTTTTCCCATTTAAACAAAACTACTTTCTCATAAAAATAACCCAAACCACTTGGCAAACAAACTTAAGTGCATTTGCTGAAAATATTTAGATTTCGCTCCTTAAGCCTGTCATTGTGTTGATAGTACTGCAGGGAGGGGCGGAGGGATCAGCGTGTGTAATTTGAAGAGTGTGTGCATCTGTGTGTGTAGAGCTTTTAGGGGAGCCGTGGTGGGTGGAGATTTCCTCCCACCAGGAATTGTTCAGAAACATCTGCAGTTTGGGGCTATTCCATTCTACCCACGTTCTTGTCCCAACCCCATCACCGGAGTTTGAGTGCCTCCTGGCATAGGTGCCGACTCCGTGGGTGCTCTGGGGCTGGAGTACCCACGGGGAAAAATTGGTGGATGCTCTGCACCCACTGGCAACTCCCCACCCCCACTCCAGCTCACCCCCACCCCCACTCCTCCCCTGAACACGCCACTTCTCCCCTAGCTCCCAGCACTTCCCACCGCGAAACAACTGTTTCGTGGCAGCAAGTGCTGGGAGGGAGGGAGGGGGAACGCGGCGTGCTCGGGGAAGAGGTGGGGCCGGGCGGGGATTTGGGGAGTTGTCCAATAGGAGCAGGGAGGGGGTGGATTTGGGGCAGGGACTTTGGGGAAGGGGTTGGAATGGGGGCGGGGCAGGGGCAGGGCATGGGTGGAGTCGGGGAGGGGCCGGGATGGGGCACGAGCACCCACCGGCACCGGGAAAAATTGGTGCCTATGCCTCCTGGTCATGCTTCGAGCCATGTGACTGACATCTGTCACGTGTTCCATCTTCTCGCCCATCCTCTCTCTCATCGTGTCTGGGAGTGCAGTGTTTTGGGAGGGTTGTTTGGGGTTTTGTCCCCTCTCCTCAATCTAGTGCATTCCGAAGGCAGAACATTTCCTCCTCAAATGTAGCTATAGATGCTCCCCAGCAAGACATCAGCTCTGGCCAGGAAGGCTTAGGGTATGTCTACACAGCAAAACGGGGGGAGGCGGGTTGACTCGGGTTAACTAACTCAGGGTAAAACAGCAGTGAAGACACAGCAACTTGGGTTAACTGGGTGAGTTCAACCCCAGGCTCCTGTCCAGGCTTGAGGTTGAGCTGCTAAGTGACCCTTTCTTCACGGCTACTTTAACCCAAGTTAAGAACACCCTTATTTTCGCAGTGCTGACACAGCCTTGGTTACATCCAGAAAGAGGCGGCTCTATCTCAGGCAGGGAAAACTCCCTACACTGCCTTGGTAACAGACTCCAAACGAGCAGCCCCTGAGAGCCCCCGTCAGTGATCCCTTTCCCACCACCCAGGGGTGCTGGGAGGCTGAATTTGCCCATGTCTGCAAAGTGCTCCAAGATCAGCGGACGGAATACACTCCATTCTCCTCCGCCTGCCTCCACCCTGTGCCCCTCTTCCCCGTTACCTTTGGGCAGTTTGCAGATCCAGTCCAGCTGTGATTCACACTGCATGGGCATCCACTGCAAGGACGCCAGGTCCAGCACTGCACAGTTACGGATGTCGTCATCGTCATGGTTACTGCGGTCAAAGTTGTGGTAGGAAAACTGGGAGCCAGGAGAGATGGGCAGAGTTAGAGCCTGCAAACTTGTCACCCCACTGGACTGGACAATTGGCCCGTATCGTCTGGTCTCCGGGTGCAACGGATCGGAGGGTTGATCCATCTATAGCGCTATGGCATTCTGACTCCCATAATGCACCCAGCCAGCTGTGCAATGCTGTACCTCCCCAGTGCCCCGCTAATCCCAGTAGCAGCGCAAGAACGGTTTGCCCCATCTCAGCCTCATTCCCTCTGCCCTACACCTTGCATCTGTGTAAAAGTGGGTGTGAAAAGTTCCAGGTCAGGACAGTGGTGCTTTCCATCCATTTTGGACACACGGCGCAGGGCACCGGGGAATGGGATCCCAATCGCTAATATGGGTCCAGAAATGATCCAGCCCTTTTTCTAATATGTGGCCACAGTAGCTGTCCTATGGTGGAATCAGAGTCAGGTGGGAGCAGGGACTTGTGTCTTTCTCTCTTTCAAAGCCCAATGCTGCAGTCACTGTCTTGTAGAAGGATCAGACATGAAGGATTAGGCCAGTGGTTTTCAACCTGGAGTCCGCAGACCCCTGGAGGTCCACAGATTATGGCAAAGATTTCCAAAGGGGTCCGCACCTCCATTCAAAATCTTTTAGGGGTCCGCAAATGAAAAAGGTTGAAAACCACCGGATTAGGTCAAAGGAAAGTCGAGCCTCTATGGCCTCTCTTGCGCCTCGGTGGCTCTCTATCCGACCAGCCAGGAGGACGGGAAGAGTCCCAGGGACTTTGTCAAAGAGCAAAGGGGACAACCCCGGAGCCGTACCAGTATTATCCTGTCTCAATAAAACAGCTTTCAGTGCCCAAGGGGATCATCCCAGGGAGATGTAAAGACGAGGTGCTGGCCACTTGTGCTTAGTAAAAAGCTCATAGCACATTTGGCAAGTCAGAGGATCCGATCCTCGGCGGGGGCAAATCAGCATTCCTCTGTTAACGTCAATAGCATGACACCGGCTTGCACCAGCTCTGGATTTGTTCTGTGGTGCCCTGACCAAATTCCCAATGGGTAATTGTCACCTTCTGCCTCCCTAAAATTCCCCCTCTCCTGAACTACCGCACAGCACCGCTGAACAGCTGCTGTCCTCCACCCCAGAGGTGGCTGCATTTCAGCAACCGGTGAAGTGGCTCCTCTCTATGTCGCTGGTTTGCAGTCAGCGTGTCCGGCACTGTGAGGTCTTTGGACACCCCCGCAGAGCCCGTGGCCGCCCTGCTTGCCTCTCAGCGCATGGCACTGCTGACCTGGCACCTGTTCCTGTGCCAAGCGCATCTGCACTCACCCCGAGGCCGTCGCTCCACCTCCAGCTCCTCTCTGCTCCAGGATCCCGCCGGTTCAAGCCAATCCAGAACCAGTGCTGCTCGTGGATCTCCGGTTCCGATTCGCTGGAAGAAACCACCCGGAGCTGGTGAACTGGGGGAAGGGGAAACACTGCCTGTCTCCTTCCTTTAGCATGGAGCCGGAGGGGGAGCTATTAGGAAGAATGCCCAGGGCCAGTTCTAATGCCCCCTGGATGCACCGCAGCGAGAATGGGCCAAGCGCAGGTGGTACATCCCACAATGCAGCTGCAAATATGATTTTATCCCCATCCCCAGGAATACCAGTGGGAAAAAATCACGTATACACCCACTTGAGGCACTCGTGTGTGCATGCTTTGCCTACAGTGTACACCCTGCCTAGGCACCGGCACTGGCAAAACATACATGCATGCACATGTGCACGGATACACACAGACACAGGACATACAAAATGCCACACAGGATCGGACCAATGGCCCAGCTAGTCCAAGTACCCTGTCTGAGATGCTTCAGCGGAAGGCACAGGAACCCCCTAGCAGAGAATTATGGAATAACCTGCTCATGGGGGTTTAGTAATTCTGTCGCTTTGGGTTATGGCCCAGAGCCCCCCGTCCCCGCCAAGGGGGTGGGGGAGTTCCTCGGGCAGTTATTTAGAGATGCAGTTTCTCATTGGCTTATGCCCTGTAGCAGAAAGCTTCACACTCCTTGGTTTCAATCTTTACTCTGTACCTCTGGGTGTTCTCGTGATCCATATTAATGCCTGGAGTCCTGCTAAGGTCTTGGCCTCAAAGAGGTATTGTGGCAGTGAGTTCCACAAGCCAATCATCCCTTATGGATAAAACATGTTTCCTCATTTTACGGCTTGCTCCCTAGAATTTCACGAAGCAGCTCCTTGTTCTGACAAGGAAGGGTAAATAGCTACACGTTTCTCACCTACCTACTTGCCAATTTATATTATTACAGGGGTGTCCATCACCATGGACTCTGGGCACCGTCTCGAGTCTATTCAGTATTTCATACACGTGTCAGGTCCTTGTTGCCTCCCCAGAGTAAACAGTTCCAGTCTTTTCAGTCTCTTGTGCTATGTTCACACATTTACACACACGATACGTACCCGCTCACTCAGGTCAGTGTACATGCTTTGCCTACAAAGCCGTACATATGCACACGGACAATCATGCACATGAGCACACAGACACATACGACAAATACATGCAGACTCTTGTACACACAGCCGCCGTCACATGGGTGCAAGAGTGTATGTGCACGTGCACCTAGATCGGTGCACACGCCCACGCCCCCTTTACAACCGACTCCTCACCCGAAGATCTTGTTCAGGGTGTTGGCCACAAAATGCTCCTCCTCGTAGCTGCCCAGGCTGAGAAGCTGTGCCCCCAGGTCACGGCAGAACAGCTGGGCCAGAATCCAGGTCTTCTTGTCCTGCAGCTTGTCGAAGTTAAACACCTGGCGTGGGAGAGAGGGGCAGACTCACTGCTCTGCTCCCTGCCCAGAGCACGCCCACGATTCCCTTCTGCTGCTTCCAAGCTGCCGCCCCTCTCGCCAGGGGCACGTTACACACGAGGAGATGCGGAGCCTGCTCCAGCCCGACCTCTGGTGCATCTGGCTGGGCGGCCAAGGCCCGTCTGGTCACGGTGGATTCTCAGCAGCACAGACCAGGCACCTGCCACTACACCCCACCCCATGGCCAGCTCCCCGGGGGGCCTCCACACCGTGTTTTAAAGAGCTTCAAATGCCCGCGGGTGCCAATCACAGCCTGGTGACACGCAGGGCCTGTCCCATAGCACCGGCTGCCCTGTGCAACATGTACCAAGAGCAGCAGAATTGAGCAGGTTACAGAAGCTTAATGCTCCAGCCGAGAGTGCAGTGAGCAAAGGAGAGGGGTGGAGGCTCTCCAGAGCTAGCAGGAGCTTCTCTGCCATCCCAAATACCTAGAGATAGAAAAACCTCTCGGCCAGCTGCTCCACCTCCCAGCCTGCCGCATCCAGTCCTGGGGATGAGGAACTGGCTCGGCCAGACAGCCTGCTTTCCATCCTCCACAATGACAGCAGCAGAGAGACAGACCCAGAGGGGTGTAATTACCCCCTGCCTCCGGCCTCTCGCTGCTATGCAGCTCCCCCACACACTGAGGCCAAGGCCCAAGGAGCCTTCTCCACCACTCCCTGCCCAGGAGGCAGCTACACTGCCGGTGCTTGGGCTCCGGATGCCCACGGACTGGGGGAGTCCAGCACCTCCAGCAGCACTGGTCCCCTGAGGTGTTTGGGGAGAGCAGGCCCACAACTCTGTCCCACCCTCTAGCCAGCCAGGAGGGCTGGATGGGCGCACAGGGGAGGGAAGCTCACCTTGGAACTGGGCCGAGCAGCAGGGGATGCAGTGTCTGCCTCGCCCCTGCAAACCTCCAGGAGCTTCTGCCAGAATGCAGGGCCTCTGCACCCTGCCTCCAGGGCAGGGCTGTGGCTTAAAGGCATCCTGCCTGGGGAGGGCGCGTGTGTGACAGACTCAGTCTGGCCGGTCTTGCTTCCCTGGGTGCACACTCGCTCCCTTCCCTCTTTACAACCACGGCCATCTCACCTGCCTCGCAAGGGCACCAGTGAGGGCTCTACAGGTCGCCTGGTTTCCCTGCAGTGACCTCTGTGGTCATGGCTGGCAGAGGGTTGCCAGGTAGCCGGTTTTGGACTGAACAGTCCAGTCGAAAAGGGGACCTGGCAATGTCTGGGCAGATGTACTGACCGGACACCAAAAGTCCCGTTACCGTGGGCCAGGGGACGACAGAAGGGAAGGGTGGAGAGGCTCTAGCTAGAAGGAAGGGGGAGGGGAGACAGGAGCAAGCAGGGGTAGGGCCTCGGGGGAAGAGGGAGAGACAGAGCGGGGAGGAAGGGGGGTGTGTTCTGGTTGTCAGCAATTAGAAAGTTGGCAATCCTAGGCTGGCAGCTTTGGGGTGGGATACAGCCACCCCAAGGATACAGAACGTGTGTCTACACCGCACATTAAGCCTGGGTCTGTGGGACCCAGACTTTCAGTGTTTCCAGCCCTGTGCTTGAGTGTCCACACTGAACTGCAAACCGGGGCTTCCAATTGCTGGCCCCGGGTCTCACAGCCGTGCTAACGCGTCCACACCGCACTACACAGAGTTTCTGACTCGGATCTGCAGCCTGAGCTGCGTCCACACTGCAAAATGACGGGGCTTGGAGCTGAGCCTCAGTGGGGCTCGGGCTCTGACCCACCCACTAGCAGCGTCTTAGGACCCGGATCCTGAGTGCTCACTAACCGGAGTCAGACTGATTTCCATGTGGACGGAAGAGGAGCTTGGATTCAAACCTGAACCAGGGCCTGGATTTAGTATACAGTGTAGACAAACCCAGAGAACCCTGCTGTCTTCCCTGGGACACGCTGGCTTCTTACCTTGTAGCAGTGTCGGAGCTTGGGGTCCGAGCTCCATCCCTGGGGGCATGAGCCGGTGAGGCTGGGCGTCGGGTATGGGGCTGGTAACTCGGGGTTCACCGGGGTCCCCAGGTTCTGCCTGCAGATGTATTTGGCCCTGAATGTGCTGCAGTTCTTCACCTCCCATAGCCCCATGGAGCTCCCCGTGGCCAGGGCGACGCAGCCGCCTTTGTTGTAACCTGGAACGCTCGTGGAAAGGGGGCAGAGAGGAGGACAAGGTTTGAGCCTAGATAGTGGAGTGTGGAACCCAGCCACCTACCCATGGTGTAACAGGCCCCCGCCTAGCGATATCTTCGCTGACCCATCCCCCTACCACCGGGTGAGCACCAAGCAGACAGACCCCACTACTGCCCTGGGGCATCCAGAAGCAGGGGAGGCATGGCTGGCGGTGCCACCCTCCAGAGGGTAGAATGGGTGGGGAATGGAGAAGTTATGCGATGGGGATGGGGGGCGGTGGGGCTAAAACATCTCAGGAACGAGTGGGACCGATCCTCTCCCCGTCAGGGCCGGTGGGCCCATAGGAAGTTGAAATGGACCAGAGCTTCCAGGGGCATGCAGGAGCATCCCTACAGGATGCACCCCAGTGTCCCCTGCTGACTGGTTCCCGTGCTGGGGCTGCCGTGGGAGATGGCCCCACAGCCCAAGAGATTGGACTGTGGTGGCATTTCCTTTGTCTAGTTCCCTCCCACGGCTCTTTGTTATCCCCCCATGTGCAGCTCCAGATGGCTCCCCTCCCTGCTTGGGGTCTACTCCCTTCACACCAGGAAGTTACGGAGGTAGAAAGAGCTACTGCTGTTAGCTGGCTACTGCTCCTTCTGCGATCGGCGTCTGGCCCTGTGCTCCTTGCCACGGCAATGCTCAGGGAACAGAGGCTGCCATGTGTTTTGCTGGGGCGAAGAATGATAGGAAATTGGGGGAGGGAACGAACACCCCCCCTCCTCCCAGCTGGCTTCTGTGCCATTACCGGGCTGGTCGCGGTTCCAGTGGGTGTACATGACCTCGTCGCCACTCAGCCAGCGGAAAGCGCCCGTTTTGTTGTTGTCCTGCAGCGCCGTCCAGAAATACTCACTGTCCCAGCCATAGATGAGGCTGCTGACGTACGCCTGCTCAAACCTGACACGGGAGAGCAGTGGGATGCCCTGCCGTTAATCTTCCTCCTCTGTGGCTCTGGCCCCGAGACTCGGGTCTGTTCCCGCCCTCAGCCCTAGTGGAGACTCCGGCATTTAGCTCTGGAGAACCCAGTTCAATCCCCAGCGGCTGTCACACAAGGAGTACAGTCCCAGACGCTTTCTGCTGAGTCCCCTGCTAATTAACTCTGCCTCCTGTTACTCCTGGGGAATTCTGCACCAAAACATTAAAAATTCTGCGCACAACATTTTAAAATTCTGCTTATTTTATTTGTCAAAATAACACACTATAATCACAACAGTTTCAATTATTTTTGGTCATTTATTTCAAAATACCTGTCAGCAAGTATGTCTGTAACAATACAGACAACAAAAAAAGTTTCAGGATATGTTTTTTGACAAATAGATTCCTTACTAGGCCTATTAATACAGAACTCTGAGTAATAATTCATTTAAACTACAATATAGAACCGTATTTCCCATACTTCTCAGAAGCAGTGCAAAGGCTTGGGGGAATCGGGGGTAACCAAGGAGCTGAGGGAGAGGGAAGTAAATTGCTGGGAAGGAACCTGGGTGTGAACTTGGACGGTTGTTGGGAAAAGTATGGAACAGGTTTTTTTGGGGGGTGGGAAGGGATTGTTAAGGAGCTTTCCCCATGCAGACCCTAGCTGACCCCTAGCCTCTCCCATTCAGTCAGTCACATCTGCCCCTGTCCCCATATGTCTCTGTGCCCCCACTCAGCCACTCCCCTGTCCCCATGTGTCTCTGTACCTCCCTCCCACCTATGGCGCTGTGCTTCCATTCCCATTCAGCCCCTGCCCCTGTCTGACCACCCCATAGCACCCCACGCTGTCTGTCTCCCCATAGCCCGTTTCCTGACCTGGCCTGACAAGCTCTGAGAAGAAGGCAGCTCTCTCTCTTCCCTCGCTGGCCCTGAGATGCAGCTTTGTTCTATCGCCACAGCGCTCTCTCATGGGCAAAAGGCGGAACTGCAGCAACAGTTCTGCAGAAGCTTTTTTTGTGCACAAAAAAGTTAGAAATCTGCAGGGCTCGTTAATTATGCACATAAGCAGTAGCGCAGAATTCCCCCAGGAGTGTCCTGTGGTAAGTACCGTTATCCCCATTACATAGATGGGGGAAAACGGGACGTGACTTGCTCCAAGGCTGCACAGCCAGCCACTCAGTGGCAGAGCTGGAAATAGAAACCAGGGTACTCCCTCCCATCCCTTCTTCAGACCACAGGCCATCTCTGCTAATGAAGTATTCAGCACCAAGCTGGGGGGTGGGGGATGGGACTCCAGCGACCTCAGCTATGGTTATGGGAGTGTCCCAGAGGGAATGGAAACCGAACACCCATGACAACAGAGCTAATCCCCAGAGTGCACCCACCTGTTGGTGATGGTGACGAGGGTGGCGCTGTAGTCACTGCACATCTTCCATGCATCGCTGTAGGTCACACGGTCTTCTCCTAGCCAATAGCAGGAGGGGCTGTGCCATTTCCAACCCTGGGGCAAGAGAAGACAATGATGGTAAGACATTTTGCAGACTTTAGTACTGTCTGAGCAGATGTGCTTTCCAAGTGCCCTTTACCCACAATGCAGAATTGTCCAGTGGAACTCACTGCTACAAGATCTTACTGAGGCCAGGAGCCTAGCAGGATTCAGACATATACATGAATAAGAACCACCTCTGCAGTTCCACTAGCTAGGATAAAACAATCTGCTGGGGATATAAACCCTCTTGCTTCAGGCCACAAGAAACCCCTGATGGCCTAGGGTCAGACACAGACACGTTATTGAACAAGCGTCCACTAGGGGGTTCCTTGCATCCTCCTCTGAAAGCAGCTGATGCTGGCCACACTTGGGAGACTCGCCTAAGACAGACGCTGGGTTTCATCCAGTCTGGCAATCCCTATGCAAACTAACTAGAATTACTTAGGACAACACTGTTGTCCCTCATCCAAAACCCAGCGGCAAAGAGCCCCCTGCAACTCCTGGGGCACTGGGCTCAGCACGGCTTCAGCGGGAAGAGCGCCATGACCTGACTCACCACCATCACTTCCTGAAACACCCTGGGTTTTTCTTGGGAGGTCTCCCATCCACAGGCTAACCCGGCTTGACCCTGTTTATCTGGTGAGATCTAACAAGATTGCAGCCCGAGAGGATACGGCTGCAGAAAAAACACTGAGGCAGCTTCAAAGTAACAGAAAAATCTGCGTTGCCAACATCCCACCCCCGATTGGAGGTTCAGGGAGGGGAATACAATCCTCTCCTTATGCGGGAAAGCCAAGCAAATAGCAAGTCCCACCGCAGTCCGCTTTAATCGCCTTGGTTTGCTGATGCTGGAGCCTCTCTGGAGTTGGGGACACAATAGGGTCTATTCTCTGCCAGAGCAGTATGGGCTGACGGGCAGGAGGGACTGTGCAGAGCGCTCCAGAAACGCTTGGCAAAGGCAGCGCAGGCAGCCACGGCTGCAGGGGGTGAGAGGAAGGGGGCTTGATCACTGTAGAGAAAGGGAGGAAGAGTGAAAGGAAACACTCGGAACAAAAGAAAGAGCGGGGAGGGGATTTTCCTTGCCCAGCCTGAGACCGGGGTGGGGGAGAAGGAAGGAGGGGCTCAGCTGGAGAAATTGGCCTTGCTCAGGCCTGGGCCACATTGCCACTTTCCCGCGCCCTAGGGAAGCTAACAAATCATGTGTGGTGTGAGCAAAACAGGCTGAGCTGTTCATCCACGCCGTCGGGCCTGCATCCCCCTCCCTATTGCCACCCCGAGTCCCAGCACTCCAGTCCAGTGCGCAAAAGACCATCGTCTCCGCCTTTGCTAGCTACACACACTGCCACAACCCACCTCCCACCAACTTCAGCACCACCAGCAGCCGGCCCGACCGCGACAGCTCCCATAGGTGGGAGCAAAGAGGTGGGTGCCGGGCAGGATACGGAGTCACGCACTAGCTTTGTGTATTACGAAAGTGCTAGGCAAACCCAGCTAACGAATCCTCACAACCAGAAGCGCAGCTACGTCCAATATGCCAAGGAGGGATGTCAACAGGCTGGAGGGCATGTCCCCTTATCCCTACCTAGCTCCACAACCCCCCTGCAAGGTAGGTAAGAATTATCATCCACATTTTGCAGATGGGGAAACTGAGGCAACGACCAAGTGGGAGGACCCTTCCCAAGGCTCACTGAGGGCATTAGCGTCAGGTCCAGGATGTGAACTCCCAAGTTCCCGGCTCCCATTGCTTTACTCAGAGCGCTTGCCTGAAAGCGCGTGAAAACCCTTGCATCAAGTACCGCCTGTTCTGAGCGCGCTCCTGCTGGAATGCGGCATGTGACAGGGGCAATGGCCTCATGCAAACCCCACCTCTCTTTTCTTGGGGGACTTCTAGCCACAGCCTGATACAGAGGCAAAACCTGCGGCAAAAAGTCCCCCACAGCAACCAGATAATTATCCAACCAAATCTGCAGAGGATTCCATCTCCACAGTGGTATGCCAGGTGCCTTTCCCCGAGGTATGCAGAGGGCACGGGCACCAAATTTTATTTTTCCAGGTGAGTGCTCCACCCTGCTCCTCCCCAAGGCCCCAACCCCACTCCAACTCTTCCCCGAGGCCCCGCCTCTTCCCGCCCCATCCCTGAAGCCCCACCCTGTCTCCACCTCTTCCCACCCCTGTTCCGCCCCTCACCCACCCACCAGCCGCTCGCTGCTCTCTGCCCTGCCCTGAGCGCTTCCCGCCAGCCAGCTGATCGGCGTCCCCGCCAAAAAGCTGTGGCTGGTGGGTGCTTGAGCCCCGGAGCACCCATGGAGTCGGCACCTATGGCAGAGGAGCTCCTGCCCCAGACCGAAGAGATGACCGGGAGGTGAGGGAAAGCCTCAGAAGGCAGCAGCTCAAGCTACAGAATGAAGCCCTGATTGCCAAGAAACATCGTGATTATTTCCCGAGGACCCGAGGTCCCTGGCTGGCAAACAGGAAGAGTGTGATCCCTGCCCCGGGAGAGCCCACAATCGAGAGACAAGACAGAAAGAAGGAAGAGCAGCTGAGAGCGCTGGAGTCACACAGAGACGGGGGCTGGTGCCTCCTCGTGCATGGCTTCTGAGCCGACAACCCCGGTGTTCATAATTATTGTTTCACTCCAGTTCAATTGATCTTGTTTGTAAGGAGCAGTGCTGCTGGGGTGACCAGACAGCAAATGTGAAAAATCGGGACGGGGGTGGGGGTAATAGGAGTCTATATAAGAAAAAGACCCCAAAATCAGGACTGTCCCTATAAAATCAGGACATTTGGTCACGCTCAGTGCTGCAGTGACGATAGCGCCTGTCAGCCGAGGACCTCCCGGCAAAGGTGGGTCGGGATCGTCAGCCTCAGCTTACCAGTGGGGTAACTGAAGCACAGGGGAGGCCGGAGTACAAACAGAACCCAGGAATCCTGGCTCCCAATCCCCACCAAGGAGCATGGCTTGCTGTGGGCTCCTGCACCCGCCTCTCACTTCCAGCGTGAGACCGAGCCCTCTTGTCCCCTTGCCCCAATCTGATACCAATATATCTCCGTTCACGGTCATGGAGTTACCGCTGCTTTACCCTGGTGTAAGCAACGGGAGACTGGCTCTGAGACCAGGAGTTGAACTCGCATCTCCTCGGTGGGTTCCAACCCCCGGCTGGCCTATAGTTGTGGGTTACAAACTATTACAACCTTACAGATCCGCTGGCATGGAAATCAGCAAGACAGAAGGGGGAGATGGGGGCAGTTCCCTGCCCCTCCCCAACGTCAAGAGAAACAGCATTTAAAGGAAGGCTGGAGGAAGGGAGAACGGTACCCTTTGGAGCGGCACATGGGTCACCCTCAGAACCTTCCCCCTAGCCCTGGGGACATGCCAGGGGAATTGCAAGCTGCATTTCTCCGACACTGGCTCTCAAAGGGCTCTGGGACACAGTGGGTTAATACACCAGCCCCTCTCACCCATAGAGACCTGGGTTAAATTATTGCTGAGCAGGAGTTTGGCAGCCCCAGTCCAATCCCTCGTCCACATCTGTCTGCATTACAAAACCACCGCAGCGTTTGGCATGACGGGCAGGCGCTTCTCGGAAGAGGCCCCAGCTGGGAGCAATGAGAATTCTTCACGGCAGCATTCAGAGGGGACCTAGGACCGGGGGCTAAGCCGGGGGTGCTGCAGCTCAGGAGTGATGGGCATGGCAGGGTGGGCTGCAGGTGGGGGGAAAGGGGTGTTTTGTCACTGGGAGCTGGCAACACCACCTGCTTGCAGCCCAGCTGCTCTGAGCTCCCTCCCTGGTGGTCCTACCCTGCACTTCTGCGCACCCTTCTCAGCTGGGATGACCAACTGGGACCCTTTGGCCCGCCCACCCTGTCCCACTGCTCCTGGTCTCCCCCTCCAGCACCATCCTCCATCCGCTAGTGCTTCCGGTCCCCTTCTTTCCGTGTGCTTCCATCCTCCCTCCTAGAACCCACGACCCAAGTCCCCGTCTCCCCTGCCCCATTCCCCTTCTAACCCAGCCCCCAATACCTCTCTCCGCTGCCCACCACCCAACTCATATGGTGCCCCAGTGCCTGACTTGCTTGTGGATTTTACCCCAATCAATCAGCGGGGTGGGAGGGGTATGGATGATGGGGAGAGGGAAGGGAAAAGAGAAGAGAAGCAGCTACTTGGCTAACCTGGCAGGGCAGCCTGGGAGAGACATGTCCGATAGCTTGAGGAGATGGTGTTTCCACTTGCGAAAACCACCACCACATTTTCTTTATAGGACAAAGCAGCACTGCTACTGGCTGTCTTGAAGAAGTCAATGGGCTGGGGATGGGATCCTACAGACCAACCCCACGGAGCTGGGGAGGAGAGGGGGCGGCCTCCCCCATTGCGTAGCTGCTGGCTTGGGAGACATGAGTGTCTGGATCTGGTGTAGAAGGAATTTGGGAGAAGGAAGGAGGGTTCTGGGGTGGGCATATTGGGCTGACGGGCAGGACGCCTGGGTTCCACCGTCAGCTCTGTCACCCTCTGCGCAAGCCAGTGCTTTCTGTCTCTGTGACACGGGGACAGAGATACGGGTCCTGCTCACAGTGCATGACTGCCAGGGAAGCGCACTCCCGCCCCGCAGACGGGCATCGGGTGGGGGGCTGGGAGGGGCAGCTGTGAGAGCAGCGCTAGAGGGAGCCGTCAGGGCAGAAGTATGGGGGATACTGGGGGTGGAGCTGTAAGGACAGCACTGGTGGGGGCTGCGAGGGCAGACACATGGGGAGTACTAGGGGGCCCTGAGTGAGTGGATGAAGTCTGCAGTGTCCTCAATGCCCCTGAGGCAATACTTGTGGGCAATTCCCCCTCAACAACACACTGCTGGCAAAACAGCCTCTCAGACACTTCTACTGAAATCCCAGAGCCTTTCTTCCCTCTTCCTTCCACCTCCCTGCCACCATAGGCGTTGTTTGACTTCTATATTTGGAGCGTGGCTCCAGTCAGGACCATGGGGCCACACGTGGGTGGGAGTGGACTAATCCTGTGCTTG